CGGGTCTCGTACCTCTGATATTTTCGTATACGTATAATTTCCAATATGATTACCATTTGTCTTACGGCGAAGGAAAACATCGTGAGGAAACCTGCATGTCTGAGAGAACCTAGCAAATTTTCGAAAGGCATGTGAAGTCCGCCAACCTGCACTTGGCCAGCGTGGTGGATTATGACCTCATATCCTTCGTATTGAAGGTCCGTGCCCAACAGGACCTTAAAAAGGGCTCTGTACTACTAATGCTAGGTATATTATACTTGTTTTCATCGATTTTGTTCGACTTTATTATATAAAAAGGTAATGTTTTTATTTCGACATATTTTATAGTTTGTATTCAGCCCTTTTTAACGTCCCACTGCAGGGCACGGGCCTCCCTTCAATACGAGGGGGATCAGACCATAGTCCACCACGCTGGCCAAGTGCAGGTTGGCGGACTTTACATTTTATAGTTTAGATATTGATTATTTTTATTAGAATATTTTATTAGGTACTAAAAATTAGCTAATTCTATTGAGTTAGGAATTAAAACTGTACAGTGATTTATTAATTGTTAAAAAAACAACTTGTACACGTTTTTATTTTATTGTCCCTAATTTAATAAGATAAGACATTTAAAAAAAATAAGTGTACTATTACAGGCAATTTAAAATAAACAAGTACCTCTTATTAACCATTAATAAACACCTGCAGGTGATCAAAAATTTATTTACATTCTTTACATTGTTCTATCATTGTCTATACCAATACTATAAAGCTAAAGATACTGTTTTGTTTGTTTGAACGTGTTAGTCAGATTAGAAACAACATGTTTGCTTTTTATAGCCTACTAGCAGAATCCGCGCTTATATTATAAATGCGAAAGTTTGGATGGATGGATGTTTGTTACTCAATCACGCCAGAATGGCTGAACAGATCTGGATGAAATTTGGCACAGAGATAGATTATAGACTGGAATAGCACATAGCGTACTTTTTATGTACGGTAAAATGTACGGTTCCCATGAGATAAGTTTGTTTTTTTTCACAGAGTTTATATATTCCATGCTGACCGTTAAACGCACTTAGAGACGAACCCGAGCGAAGCGAGGGTCAACCGCTAGTAATATATATTTTATATGTATTAATATTTAATTATTATCCATATTTTATAATATAAAAAACAGTTACGAGCTTCACAAGACATTTTATATGTTAGTTACGTCGTTACAGTAGGATTGAGAAGGCATTTGACATTTTAGCACTTATTATTAATTTTCTTTATGCAATTTTAATGAAGGAATTTGCATTCGTTGCTTATTTATAATAAGGTTATTAATATAAAATATTTTATCATTAAATATGTGGTAGTAAAATATTCAATTGTTTACATTTAAATACAATATTAGTTTATTTGAAAATGCCTAGTATTTTAATAAACAATAAGTCATTCCTCTGATAAAATACACCTAAATAATATAGTTATTTTAATAAATTAGCTGAAATGTTCCTTTTTTAGTCGTGTTATAAAGTATTTACTACTAACTAAAGTTATATTTAAAAAAGTTTATTTATCCTTTAGTTTTGCGTGCCGTGTCGGCGTCAGTGGCTAACAGTTTAGTGGGTAAGTGTGAACGCTACCGACTTGGCGTTGTAAAACTTGCAAGGTGGTCCATCCCTTTTTATGATGCCTGACATATCAGAGAATATCTATACTGTCTGAAGAGAGAAACTTATATTATTGTTTTATTTAATTATACTATAATATTGCATTCAGTCTTTTTTAATGTATACCATTGCTGGGCACGGGCCTACTTTCAGTATGAGAGAGAAAACTTGCCAAGTTCTCTCAGACTTGCAGGTTTCTTCACGATGTTTTTGTTCACCGTAAGGCAAATGGTAATCATGTTGGAAATGATTTGCACATGAAAATATCTAAGGTGCGAGACCCGGGATTTGAAGCTGCTTCACTTGGTTTCCCAAGTAAGCACGTTACCACTGGGCTACCACTTCCTTTTAACACTATAATATTCTAGCCATATATCTTCGCTTTGCTCAGTTTCCTAGGTGCCTTTAATATTTATAATATAACATGGCAGTGCCTCTTAGCAAATTTTATTAATTAAGAGATTTTATATGTTACTCTAGGACATAGAGTATCTCAGCCGATTCAGTGTGATGGGAATAACAAACATACACACATGTACATACAAATCTCATGAATTTTTGATATTGATTTTTTAATACATGGAAAGTGTTTGTGCGTAATTATTAAATTGTTGTACATAATTACATCGTATAGAATATCGTATAGAATTTAAAATCATTTAAAAGTACCTATTTCAATCTTAATAGTAAAACTATATATTTTAGTTATACCTATATGACATAACATTTAAGCACACAGTATTTATAATCAAATTGAATGCCTCCTTTTGAAAATTGGTCAAAACTATTTTATAATTAGGATATCTATATTAAACTTTACACCATCATCTATGCGTAAGTAAAGTCAGAATAAATGCTTATAGAAAACGCAAGATATTTTAACTTAAAGCAATATTCACATTCTGCATAGTAAAATTTTCCATAAAACGTGTCAATACACAAGTGGGGAACTAAAAATAACTTAACCCGCTGTTTGCGGTGCTACTTAGTGGGCACAATAAAGCTCGCTAAAAGGTGGATGTTTGTTTCTCTGCATTTTTCTCTTTGACTGTTGTAACTTAATATCGTATTGCATTTTAAAAATAATTATTCATACTTTATAAGTAATATCTCTTAATATTAAATGAGCAATATTTGTACATATATTTTATTTCGTCTCGGGTCTCGCGCGTCAGAAACGGCTCTGACGATTTGAATCAAATTTTGTGTTTAGACAAGGCTTTGCTTTAAGTTTATCTATATACCTAGCTAGGTGTCTTTTTTGAAAAAAAACGCGATTTTTATATCTTCCTCGAAAAAAACCCAGAGCAAAGTTCGGTCGCCTAGGTACCCACTAGTACGTATATTTTTATTTTTAAATATATTTAGTTGCAAATAAAAATGAATAGTTTTTGAAGTTATACTACTTCTTTGTACGCTTGGTAAAAATTATGAGAATAAAATTTTTACGATGCGCGGGCACACCGACAGCCAAAAAGCGACATGATGAAGTTAACTGAAAGCGACATGATGAAGTTAGCTGCATTCCTTTCACAAACAGAGAGTTATGGCTTAGGGGATGAAATCTTTAACTTTTTTGTTCTGTTACGCCAAAGAAGTAGGTATAATTTCTTACGTGCGTACATACAGAAAAAAACATTGTTAGTAACATACATAATAATGAAACTTATAGGAGAAATGAACTTTTTTGTCCTATTAATTACTTGTCAAGTTTTGTTGCAATATGTACACGTAATTATTTTTTTTACTTATATATTAATAAAAAATATTAAACTCCTTACTTTACCTACCTTATAACTAATACTTATTAAATTTCGTTAGGTTAGGTTAGGGTTTTTTACTAATTAAAATGTGTGTTTATATTTATAATATGTATGTATTTAAAGTTATACATGTGTAGTACTATATCAACTACCTGGTATCCATAACACAAGCCTCGTAGCTTACCATGGAACTAGATGGTATTGTGTGTTAATCTCCCAATATATTTATTATTTATTTATTATTATGTATTAATAAAATTAATAAAAAATCTTAAAATCTCTTATATTAATGGGGAATAATAAAAATTGATATCCAATAGTTAGGGCTACCTTTAACTTACATTCAATATTATATTTGGTAGTTAAGTTATTATTTATTTTACTAAAATCCAAGCTCTAATCACAAAGATTTCCTTAACAACACGATAAATCTCCTAACCTTCTAATGGTCGGTTTCACTTGCATTAGCAGAACGGGTCGATCCCACCCCGACATTTATATTTATAAATCAATCAGAACATCCCCTTTCTTTAACATTTATTGCTTAAATTTTGGGTGCAATGATCACATTATTATTATATTTTTTTCATATAAATTCTCCAAACTTATATGCAGTAATATTTTTTTAGATTTACGCGAATATTTGACATTTAAATAAAACTACTTATGTTTATTTTTAGCTCTCCCGTGACCATATTTGGAAAAAGCATTCGAAATGTCGGGACTAAAAATCATCAAAGTAAAATAAAACCACAAAAAAAGATAGTTTTATAAAAAACTTGCGCGATAGTTTTAAAGAAAATTATCTGTGAGGTAAAATATAACAAAGACTGAATGTAGGTACGTTTAAGTTATCTTATAAGGCAATTCCTTATTTATTCTGATGGAAAGATAGGCACCTGATTTTAATAATTTTATTTCATTTTAGGACATACCAAGTTTTTTATTAAAGATTAAGTCCTTAAGTTTGTGGGCATAAGATTGTTACAAAGCAATAATAATAAATATTCCTTCATCGATCTTGGTTTCATTTATAAAAATAAAATTGAGGTCTAATTATTCTTATTTCTATTTAAATACGAATAGTCTGTATTTATGTTTACTTAAAAAATATATATCGTAAAATATGGTTGATACTAAAGTACCAATAAGGTTACAATAGGTACATATATACATACCTACCTAAATTTTCCTATTTTGTATATGATGATATATGCCTTCAACATATTTAATAAACTATTTTTACGTTTAATACTTTATGTTTACATAAAAATTTAGTGAAGATAAAATAATCGGTTAGTCACTTTTTCCTATTAAGTAATCTATAGAAATGGATTGTATTCGAAGATTTCTAATAATGTTTACAGGGTAAAAGTTATTTGGTTGTATTTAGTTGTACCTACGATATTAGTGATTAATAATTTATAATTATTGTTTTTTATTCCGTTGAAGGATACCTACTATAATTTACCATACGAATACAGATGAGAACTAGTACTATTTTTTTATTTAAGCAGTGTGTAATAAATCTATATAAGTAAGGCTTATATTTAATTACCATATAAATATTCTTTTTTAATAAAAAAATACTTACTCGGCATCATTTCGACGTGCGACGACGTGTCCATGATGTTATGATGGTGCAACATGTCTGGCGGGGACTGCACCAGCCCGCCACCGCCGCTAGCCATCACCATCACTGGTTATGATAGAACTCCCCTGATATATCACGCTCTAACACGCAAAATTAAAATTGTCTATAATTATATCACTATGGTACAATTTTAACCCACACAAATTAAGGGTTAAAATTAATTGTGACTAATCTTTTTAATAATATTTTTTGTTAGGACTTACTCTTGTTTTTTTAAATCAAATGTCTGTTTTTTCTAATTGTAAAATAAAAAAGTCCTATGTAAATCAGTTCATTAAAACGAAACTATCACAAACACTAAACACTAGGTCATTAGGCACTTCGACATTATTTTTTTATGTTTTTGTCTTTAACGCACATCTCGCCACGGCAGAGGCCAAGCCCACACTGCCGTATTATATCTATAACTCTATGGATCGACTCTACTACGCGTGCGCAGACCGTCCTCTCTTTCGATTGGTCGAATTTTAAAACGCCTTTTGAAATGGGCTATTGTGATTGGTCTAGAGCTTCCCATTTTCCCGCCCTAAATGACAGTGCCCTCACAAAATGGCGCCCCCTTATAGCCTTTTGATGCTTTTTTGAACATTTTCTTCGGTAAAAAATAATCCTGTTCGAATATAATGAGCATGATTTATGATTTTGATCCGCGGTCTCTTTTTTTCGTTTAATCTAGTCATGTTAATATATCTTTTTTTTAACTCGTTTCGTGCTCAGTGGATAAATGTTTTGTAATTGTACATTTGTTTATTTATCTAAAATGTTATTTAAACTTTGTCGTATTTTTTATTTAACGTTGTAAATGATGGCAATTAGATGTGTTCATGGTAAATTGTGGCTTCCACGATTAAATTCGATATATTTTATAGATAATACATTATTATTATAATTAGGCTGTTTTTTTAATTGTATTCTTATTGTTTATATATTTATGAAGTTCTATATATTTTTAAGTCGTATAAGTCATGCGGAAATTTATTAGAAGTGAATTTTTTTTATCTATTTTCAGTCCAGTCTTTTAAGTCAAAAGAAAGCTCGAAAGCTTTTTAACAATAGTACCTACCTATAAAAGTAGGTTTAACGTCAAGAATACTAATAATAAAAGAACTAATAGAATATGTAGGTACACACCTGCAAAATAACGGTATGACGAATCTAATATATTGGCCATATAGGTCACACGTTCAATTCCCGTGTGAGCTAAGTTTCTAAAATGATAAAAAAATCTTGTAAACCAAGAGATGATAGACTTAACATAATATTTTAAACAATAGAAGTAGGTAAATTGCGTTATATTTATGTTTTTTCCTTATATTGCACTGATAGGAGCTCTACAAGGTTAGAGTCAGTACAAATATAATATCTTATTTGTAGCTTCACTTATCATTATTGGTCTCATATTAGTAATTTTAATTAATCTATTTTAAAAATGAAGGATGTTTTAATATATTAAAAATCATAGTCTTTTAATAAATTTAAATTAAATTCGCCTATGGTAAGTTACCTACCTGTAGATATTGTTATTGTATTCAGCCCTTTTTATCGTCCCACTGCTGAGCACAAAGTGCAACTGACAAGGGGGATCAGGCCATAGTCCACCACGCTGGCCAAGTGCGGGTTGGCGGACTTCACATGTCTTTTGAAAACTTGTAAGGTTCTCTCAGACATGCAGGTTTCCTCATGATGTTTTCCTTCACCGTAAGACAAGTGGTAATCATGTTGAAAAAGATTCGCACATGTGGAAATATCAGAGGTGCGAGACCCGGGATTTCAACCCGCTTCACTCGGTTACCCAAGCGAGCGCGTCATCACTGGGCTACCACTGCCTTGTAGATACACCCTGTAGATATACCTACCTAATAATATGCCAATAGTCCATAAAGTTTTATGGACTATTGGCATATTATTAGGTAAGGATAAGTTTAACCATTAACTTTTGTGCAAATGTTATTTGCATAAAATATTTAGGTATTACCAAAAATGTTATTTATGAAGGGCTCGTCCTCGTCCCTGCTTACGTTTTAACGTTCAGTATAGATTTCTCAGAGATGAGATATTTTCTCGCAGTAAAAAGTATCGCATATGTTGACCTGGATAACCAGCTATCATTATAGTATATCAAATTTCATCAAAATCTGTCCAATGGTTTTCTCGTGATGCGTTCCCAGACAGACAGACAAAAATTCTATAAAGTATAGATTCGGCTTCTGTATCGATAATAATGTCTATTACAATAATCTTTTCCAAAAAATATTTAATGTACAAATTCGACTCAGAAGGTATTACTCGTAGGTACATGTACCTAGGTACCTACCTATAGATAAACGGTATTGTGATTTATTTATTTAACAAAAAATTCTTGAATTCGGTATTGACAAGAGTTCCTTACACGTAGGACAGCTAGTAAGAATTTTTGGCATTTAATCAGTTAAATAGGGGATTTTATTTAATTTGATAGGTACCGTATAAATATAATATTGTAATTTTCGAAGAACATAAATATGGTAAATAATTCGTCAGCTTGTCCGTATGCCGATGGGAAAACCCATCGGGCTCACTGCTAGTTGTTTTATAAATTGGCGGAATTAATCATGTTTTTATTGTAACCTCATTGATTTTTACATCATTTGGTATGGTACCTATATACTTATCTATCTTGAAATTTTGTATGTGAAATCTTGATAATATACCTAGGTAGTAGGTTACCACATCACAGAAAAGCCACCGAAGGGATTTTAATGAAATTTGGTATGGTGATAGCTGGTTATCTTTTTTTTTTTTTATGTCGGGAAATGCATTTACGCATACCACCTGATCCCCCAGGTGGTGATGTGGGGCTCACCGGCTAGAAGAGCCGGTACTACCCACTAAAACCCGACATTCCCCTCCCCTCCGCCTTAATGGGACGCCGCAGGATCGCTTGCGCATAACTACTACGGCGCCCCGGCGGCAGGTCTGCCTAAAAAGGCAGACCACCAAACCAATGGGGCTGCTCCACAGTCAACTCTGCTACGCCAGAGAGGTACCCGGAGCAGCCCCATTAAACCTAACCACCGCCCACCGAAGTAGGCCACCTCCAATCGGCTGCAGAGGACAGGGAGAGCGGCAACGAAACACCGACACTCCTCTTCCCCTGCAGCCCCACCGCGTCCGCCATCGAACGGTGGAGGCCCCGTCTAGGCCGCGGAAGGTAGGGAGAACGGCGCACCGAAATACCGGCACTCCTCTCCCGCCGCGGCCTACTCCTCCGCCGGAAGCGGGCCTGCGACCACAGTCCCGCAACCGGCACCCATCGTCCGGTTGTGGGACCAAGCGGTCCCACCACTGGTGGCCGCAACGTCTTCGGCTCGAGGCCTAGACGAGCGGCCCCATCCAAGCCATTTGGTCCGCGCCGGATTTCTCCGGTACCACCCGCCGCCCTAAGCGGGTGGCATTCCCCTATCCGCCACCTGGGGACGCGCCCGGTAGGAGTTGGCTTCTCTCCCGGGGATAGCTGGTTATCTGGGTCAACATATAGGATACTTTTTAACGCGGGAAAAATGTCTCATTTCTGAGAAAAAATACAATAACTGCAATGTAAGAGTATACTAATATGTAAGACCTAAGAATTTGGTTTTTGGTCATCTGAACGCTAGTATAACAAATTATGTGATATTCAGTAGCTGGCATTAGGTACAAAACGTAAGTAAAAGTCATCTAATTACCATGAAAACTTTGCATGCTGACTTTATCACGCTTTTAAACAATTTACCGCTCTATGAGCAACTAGTTGTTTTTTTTATTAAAAACCATGAAGCCATTAATCTTCATCTAATTACTTCGTCAACTATCTGTGAGGTTTGCAAAAAAGCGAAAAAAAATAGGCGCCAAATGTTCCCGCCACGTCATTAGACAGATAAAATAAAGCACAGATAAACTTATCGTAGCAGATGCATAGATAACGATATATTTTAATTAGCCTTTTTGTGTATATGAATAGAGATTATAATTGCTTGACATTATATAAGGAAGGAAGTGAAACAAGTCCTTAAAAAGATCGCAGATGTTGGAATGTTCGATAGGGATTTCGCTTAGGTACTTAAAAATGCGTAAGTGTAGACGTTTTTAATGGTTCAGTAAAGACTGAAGATATGTCTATAACTGAACAAGTTGACGCCTTTAATTTTTTATTACAATGGACAGACAAACATGTTTGTATTAATAACATTTATACAACATTTTTATAAAAAATGTAATATAGTTTTTTTTTATATTGTATAATATTGTAATAAATACCTACAATTTCTTTTTAACCAATACAAAAACTTGCTTTATTTATTTGGGTGTAAATAAATCTTTTTGCTAGGTTTTGGCTTTGGTTGGCGACGAACTAAATGTACGGGCCATATTACTCTGCAATAGGTATTTCTTTACGGAGTCTATTCGTCCTTGAATAGGACGAATAAAAATAATTATACGTCCTTTAATAGGATGAATAAAAATAATTATGCGAACTTTATAAAATATATAAATTATAAGGAAAGACAAATAAAAAGAATAGACTAATAAATAAGCAAGTAAAATAAGTAATTTGGCTCAGCTCTATAGGTTAAGGTATTTTTTTTTGGATAGAGAAACTCCTGCACCTATAAAAACAAAAGAAGTTGTAAATATTTATAATTGTAAATTGCACAAAAGTCGGACGAATAATGTATATTTTTGCATCCGATTATTATCGGAAGTATAGCAACAGCCATTTATTTAAATACGCTATAAACGTATTAATATTTGAATAAATTTTATTACTTTTAATAAACTTCAAAATGATAAACTAATTATTTTTTTATCAATAACATGTTTTTACATATATCTAAACCCGTATAAACTTGAACAATGGCATAATTTATATGAGAAACATAAAACTAAGACAATAATATTTTTTTGTCAACTAAAAATTATGACTTTATACAAAAATAGTACAAATATGTATTTATATTTTTTATATCCATTACAAAATAAATAAGTTTTAAATTTTAATATTACCTAATTTCGGTTAAA